GAGTCTGAAGCTAATAGTGTCAAGCATTATAATTGTTTAAACGATGATGAAAAGAAAAATAGAACGGGAAATAGAAAAAAGCTAATGCTCTATTGCAAACCATAACGAACTATGACAGTTTCGAGTCCAAAAACAACGCTGAGTGCGGCCCTTTATATCGCCTTCAAGTTAATCTATCTCGGCAACTAGCAGTGAAACACTCGGCAAAGTTAAACACTCACTGGGGCACACCCACTTGCGGTGTGAGCGTTTCGAAAGGCACTCCGTTCCGTCGCAACGCCGTTGGGGCGCCGAATCATAAGCTTCGCACGCGGCTGTATATAGTTTCTATTTCGGCCGGGCGAGTAAACAAATTAATCCGAGCCGAGGCAACGGATTCCCGCTCGTGCCGCTGACAGTGAGATATGGTCCGTCGGAGCGCTAACAAAGCCTTAAGGCCTTAAGGCCCCGTCTCGCGGTGAGACCTCATTAACATTAAACAGTCCGAAATGAAACAAAAACAGACAGAATCGGCGTAAAACTAACCACATTTCAACGCACTCATTTAGGTCCTTTATATAACAAGAACATGGGCTCACCATGACTGGACGCGAAGTTAATAATAACAAGTAGGTAAATGTTTCACGAATGTTTCAGGACATATTTATACAACATTTTCAAACCCGAAACTAAGCAAAACCGATACTATGTATATTAGGTATCTTATAAACATAGTTAAGAATACTTTTTTGTAAATAAACACATATTGTAGATATACAGCGTGTCGTTACCATCGCGACAATAAATGAACACACACATAGGGGATAACTTTTTAAAGTTGTATTAAACATTTAAATTCTTTAAACGTCAATATTTACAGAGTTATAAAATTTCCAAAACAAAGAATTTTAGAACACCCTTACCTATAAAACCGTAACGTAAGTTCATTTGTAAAGGTCACAAAGCATATGAATGGGTTGAATGAATTTAAAAGAGACAAAACATACTGTTAGAAGGAGAGGTTTGTAATACGCCGCTGTGGCGCGAGTTGTATAGGATGTTACAATGTTACAAATTTTGATTCCTTTTTTGAAGTGAAACTTCTTTATCGGGGTTGGAAAAAAATTTAGTGTAACATTTTTGCGTTACGCGCCCTCTTGTTGTTGTGGTTTTAATAGTTGACGCTAGATGGCGTTAGTTCCTTTGTGTGTTCACAACAATATATATATATGTTATATCGTGACAGCAAAATCAAAGGGTTTATTTTCCAAAATGCAAACAATATATTTCGTATTTCAGTTACCATAAGCCACCAATATGAATAACGACATCAATTAGTAATAAAGAGCACGAATGCTCTTCGAAGCCTCGATCGGCTCCTGGAAGTTGCGGTTGCGACGTCGATCCAACGTCCCCCGCAAGTTCGGTTTTCCAAAAAAACTTAACTCACAACACTCGCGCGCGAGTCGAATGTCTGCCTTCTACTCACTGGCTGACTATTCGGCAACGAAGGACGCAAGTTGCAAGTTTTTTAATCAACTTTTTTTTTTTTGGCTGGATGAGCCACTGTTGGCCTTAGGGGCCTTTACAGATCCGACGGACTTGAGGTGGCCTGGCGCATGAGGCGCCTAGCCCGAAGGCGCCTAGCCTGAAGGCGCCTAGCCTGAAGGCGCCTAGCCTGAAGGCGCCTAGCCTGAAGGCGCCTAGCCTGAAGTCGCCTAGCCTGAAGCCTTTTAATCAACAATTTTTGCGGACTCCCTCATACTAATTACAACGGTCAAACCATAGTGTGTTTTAATTTACTACTAACGCCACCTATGTATTACAAATAAGAAACTAAATATTATACAAAGCTAAAATGAAATAATTGTAGAATTTGTATTTATGTCTATGATAATAAAAGCCTTTTATTAAACTTTATCTAATTTAACTTTATTAACCAATTTCTGTAAAGTTGCATATAGTAAATTATTTTTGAAAAATAACGTCATAAAAAAGTTTCACTTCTTACGAGTGTACGCTAGTACACGCACACATTTTTTTACTAAATTAATTTGTTTGAAAAATATATTTTTTAATTATGGATTTTGTTTAACGTTAATATTTTTTTATGATTTTTGGCAAGTAGCGTTAGACGAGTGTTTATTTATTGTCGCAATGTCGATGGTAACGACACGCTGTATATATAAATACCCAGACACTGATACACTGACACTCATATACCAGAAAAACACTATGTTCTTCACACAATATTTTTCCATGTTCACTAATGGTTCACTATTCACCGTAGTCCAAAGTACAGTGGCAATTAAATTAACACGGGACGATATGGGAGCTAACCCAATCCAATACAAAAAGAAGTTTTAAGATCGGTTCATAAATAACAGAGATCTGGGGTAGGTAGAAGATCAAAAAAATACAACCTAATCCTCTTTAAATTGGAAAAGGTTGAAAATGGGATTAATGCATGTTATTTGTGCGTAAAACGGAAAACTTGGGTGATTGCTTTGTTGATAACGATTTGGGTCAAACCAGTGGATATTAATTTAGGTGGATAACCGATCAATGTCGACTGGTTCAAAATCGGAATCCAAGGAGCCCGATTGATTGTATTAGATACGTCAAGTCGGACCGAGCAACTGGCATTACTGCTTATGCCTTGACGAATGTTCTATTTAACAGTAGGGGTCGTACTAGCAAATATTTATCCTTACAGTAACTTTATTAGTTATTCAGAGGCTTGCAGTCAAAGTACCTCAAAGGCCGGCAACGCAAGTACCTCTTATCGGTGTTCGAATGTCTATGAGCGAAGGGAATTACTTACCATTAAGTGAATCACTTCTTCAAAGTAAATAGCAATAAAGAAAAAAAGAACTACAACTAAGTGGAAAATAAATATTCTTTTACTTGTAATGGAGTTTTAAACAATATTTGATTTGAGTTCCACGCCAATTAAGAAGTAATTACTCCGTTGCTACGTCCAGCGTATTATTTGAGTAATCCCATTTGAGCATAGTCGCCTTTATTCAGAGACGCAGAGGTCTTTAGAGGCGCCCCGGATTAGCGCGGTTGGTTAGACCCGTAAAGCTACAGTGTCGGCCGACCAACGCCCAGCGGTGGGCTGGCTATTCTCAGAAACGATACCCGCTTTATTACAGTTAAAGCATTGCGAGTACATCAAAGAGGATGAATTAACATATTAATACTCCTCGAGGTAGTTAACGGTGGTCCCATTTTAATTAAATATTTTTGTAACACGTAATTACTGTCGCACGTCTCTGTTCGATTAACGACAGGCTTACCACCTGTCATGTATGAACGTAAATAACAGAAGCTACTCATGCCTATTGATATATGGCTGTATTCATTGTGACGACACGATTGGCGCAGTGGGTAGTGCACCTGCCTCTTGCGCCAGAGGGAGTGGGTTCGATCCCCACAACTGGAAAAGTATTGTGTGATGAACATGGTGTTTTTCCAGTGTCTGGGTATTTATATATTCATAATATGTATTTTTAACAAAATAAAATTATGTTTATGTATGGTTAGGTTAGTACTGGTTAGTAAGTAGGTTAGGTTGGGGCTAGAGCGTTGTGTGAAAATGTGTCCTAAATAATTAAAAAAAAATTGTGTGACATCTCATTTATCACTCAATATTGTCTTTTTACTGTTTATTTTCCGGCGTGAAAACGAAATAAAAACCTCCAATTAATAAACAACGAACTTCTTACGTGTAAAACATTAATGATACGTGATGTCGCGGTAGACGCAGTGGCTAAACTGTGGCTGCCAGAAGCGGTCCTGCCTTCGATTGGCTGTAGAAATAACTATTTACCCCAACAAATATAAATTCCATATCTGATTATTCACCAATGTTAAACATGTGTTTGTAAACTTAATTCGCCAACACGGATAGCGTTTAACCCAAAACAAAAAAGGAGTCTGAATACTATCAACAAATATCGATAAAACTTTACGGCGGATAGGAAATAAGTATGGCTGAAATCGCAACGATTTTGTCGATATAGAGAATAAATTTTTCAGTAGACTTTGTTTTGTTCTGTACTTACTTTATTCACATTTTAAGCGGTGTAGAACAAACACACATCAATAAATCGATTTCACAACCTTTAACGATACAAGTTGACTGTTTGAATTAACGAGCTTGACAGATGGCTAATGATATACAAGTTCCAAGGAGTTTTAGCTCCAATTTACTCGCAAATGGCGATATGAAAAGTAAGCTTTATTTAAAGTAAAACCTAATAAGTAGTATCCTTCTATACAAAGTTTACTCACATATTATATTCTTCCATCAATTACACTCACTTAAGCTGGAAATCTACTTGAAGATTTCTGAGAAATATATTACAATTTTGCACGAAATGAAAATGAGGAATGGGTCCACCAAGTATATATTGAAACGTAAGTTAAAGCATTGGAATTGGTTAATAAACCATATTGATTTTTAACAATCGTAGTTTTAATACTAAACATTGAAATGAAATTGACATGTAAAAAAATAATACACGGTGACTTACACAGATTATACAGACATTGAAAACAATTATATGGCAATTATATTAATACGCAGCATATTAGCGTCAAAGGTCACAGAACTAATAACGTGAATGATAGTCAGTGAGGTGAACCGCATTCAAAAATTAAGATTTGAATCAAAAACTTATGTGTTGCTTTTGCGGCGATGTTAAGTGAAATCCGCCGCAAAAGTCAAAAGGTCAGAAATCTAGATTTTTTTTTTCATTCATGGGGCAACCATTGATAACGCCGCCAGCCTGCTTTTGTTAGTTGCGATTTGCAAAACTTACGCTTACCAGCAATAGATATGTGGAGGTTCCAGGTAGTTTAAACCAGTTCACGAGTATTTTATTTTTACGGCCATATCTGCCCCGAATATTATTTTATCGAAGTTTCTGCATTGCAGATCCTCACGATCCGAACTTCGAGTCCACATAAATTCAGTATTAAGAGCTTCATTAAAAGGCGAAATAGAAATGCGAATGAAACTACGCGGAAGCCAGGTAAGAAAACGCAAAAAAAACGGCTAAATGGTTAAAAAATGTCATGTCTGTTCTATGGGAAGCCCAACTTAAATAATTTTCTTGCTGTTTTTAGTGTTTGTTCTTATATCGGCAACAGAAATACTACATCTGTGAAAATTTCAACTTTCTAACTAATACGATTCATGAGATACAGCCTGGTGACAGACGGACAGACAGCGGAGTCTTAGTAATAGGGTCCCGTTTTACCCTCTGGGTACCGAACCCTAAAAGCACATAACTATGACTACATTTTTGTTTGATCATTTGTTAGTACTAGTCATTTCATAGTGCTGCTGAAAACTTTCATCTTCTCTTCAACGCCCAAATAACAGTTAGAGCGTAGCACCACTACACGGCCCAGACAGAGGAATGTTTCGTAAAATGTTATAATTACATTTTTTCCATAGCAGCATCGTTACAAAGAAAATTCGCGTGGAGCCACGGCTCTCGTCCACCACTCTCGCGAAAAATGCTTTATGAGCCGTAGTGATTCTTTCATTCGCATTATGAAAGGGAAGTTTGTTTTGAATTAAACTTGGATAATAATATAGAAATCGGATCGCGCGGAATGTTGTTTTGTTAGATGCTCAAGGAAGGGATCGAAGGAGTATGAAAGCCTTGTATTCTATTCATCATTTGACAAGATAAATGCTACGAATTAATTCGGTACTAATATAATAGACAGATTTTAATCTTGTAAATATTACAAAAATAAACATTGTTTAAACCATAAAAAAACTATAAATTCGGTACTTCTCACGGTAATTTGTTCCATTAATACCGGGTGTTTTTCGACCTAATTTTTATTCGGTGGGGAAAAATCCATTCCCATCGCCAGAGAACTGAAGTTATCGACACTGCGCGCAGAATCAGCACGCTGAAGTGGAAGTGGGCTGGCCATGTCTCCAGGCGTGCTGATGGTCGCTGGAGTAGACACGTGTTGGAGTGGACACCACGGCTAGGGAAACGTGGTGTGTGACGCCCTGCAGCACGATGGACTGACGACTTAAGAGCCGGGCAGCGGATGGATGCGGGCTGCCCAGGACCGGGATAGTTGGCGCAATTTGGGGGAGGCCCACGTTCCGCAGTGGACGGCAATAGGCTCATATTGTATTGTATTGCAGATAAAAATCACTACATGGTTATCGACAAAAATTATTTAAAAAAACGTTATTTTCACAGAGAAAGTCCGCCATTTTACTAATTTGACTTCAAATGAATACTACTGCCAATATGATAAATATTGGAAACAGACGACTTTATACTTCTATCGACTGTAAAATTCACAGATCCGACACAGAGCAATCCGAATCGGATAAGTTAGGTTAGAAGGTTAATAAAAACAGAAAATATATAAATATTTTTTTGCTCTAAAACTATAAGCGACCGGAAAATTCTGCTTGTAGAGTATTTAATTAGTGATTTTTCGTTACCGAATATTTTTTTAGGTCGAAAAATCTCGGCACTAATGGAAAGTTTTACCATCCTCACCCCCTGGGGTTAGAGCGAGTTGACGGTAAGCAGAAAAACTTCCATTGTGTATCTCTGAAATACCTTCAAGTCTAGTGAACCATTTTCATTACAAACAATACTGGTCAGTCTGTCATGATTTTTTCATATAAATCGTTTTCGTTTCTTCTTCTTTTAAACGTTGCCACTTACTTTAAAATAACATTATCCTGGGTTAGGTCGTATTTATTATAAACATAAATTTAACGCAGACAAATACCCAGATGCGAAACAACTATCTTTGTTTTACACAAATAGTTGTCCCGATTCGTTGGGAATCGAACCCACGACCCTCAACTCCGAATACCTCGGCAACTGCGCCACGGAGTCATCAAAAATCATGTAATAAACAAACTCAACTCTCAATTAAGAATTGTTTTACTAGAAATATCAGTAATAAAAATTAAGCTTACTTAAACTTACCGCAGCAAAGTAAAGCGAAGTTTAAGCAACTCCTTTGATTATATACTTATTATTAGATTATGTACTAACTATATAATTATGTCCAAGTATTGACTATAAAAAGCACATCATAAACAAATCATGGGCATGACGAGAAGAACGTTATGTTCTTACGAACAAAAAATTAAATCGTATTTCTCAATCGCTATACATTTTACGTATCCCACAAATCCAAGATCCAAAGCCTATAAAATTAAACTGGTGCTTATTTTCCGAAAACAAAAGAATTTTCCGAATCGGTATATAAATGACGGAGTTCCGACTTTGAAACGAAAGAAGTACAATCCCCTCTTTGAAGTAGGCTGAAAATATGTAGAAAAGAGTAGTATGTACTGTTAAAATATCTTATATTTTCACGATGTCGTTTCGGAAACAAATTCTGTTCTTACAAGGCAATGTTAAGTTTTGAAAATGTATTGACGCAGGTTTTGCTTGGACGTGAATCAAGTAATTATTATTAAGGAGAAAATAACATTGACAAACTACTACATAAATTGCGATACACATATCGATTAATATTTTGTAAACTAACTATGACACTTAGAACCAAATCGACAAAGACGAAATTTGAATTTTTGTCAAATCAGCGATTAAGCGAGCTCTAATCGAGATTTTATTGAAATGTACCAACACGTGCTGTATCAAAAGGAGATCTAGGAAAGTGTTTACTCAAATTTGCATTGCGAATTCGCAGACGAATGGTTTGGCTAGCGCCTCAACCGTTCATACCAGCTGCTTGCGTTCGCGTACGATCCAAACGAACGAACATCTTATATAAAGGAGGCAACGCATTTGCAAGCCTACGGGTGTTGCAAAAGTTCATGTTCGGCGGTTATCACTTAACATCAGGTGAGCCGGCCAGCTCGTTTGCCTATTTATCACATAAAAAAAAGCAAAAGTATCTTTAACTAACTTGCGTATGTCCACGGCTGAGGGTGACTTATCCGAAAAACATTGTTACATCGTTCGTTTGAATTATTCTTCGATGTAAATACGATCTAATTGCCTTTTTAATCACGCAAAGGGGCCGTTACGCAGTTGACGCTGCGTCGGAAAATTCACCGCTCGCCGTTCACGATTCATTCGGCGTGTCGTTAAACGAAATCGATACGTTTATTTAAACCGAGCCCTAATAATAGACACGTAAGCGCCGAAGCCTAGATTTACGACACCGTCTGGATTCGTCGGGTTTTAAATGTTCTTTTTAATACGGGTTACCTAAAAAGTTATAACGGTTGATATCCGCAAACGTTAGGTTTTTCTAGCTAAATGTAGATTTGTTTACTAGCGATAGATATTTGTTATTAACGCCATAATACGTCAAAATTCTATCTCGAGTAACCAAATCTATTGGTAGATTGAATGTTTAAACCAGCCGTAAATCCCACGCGGACCATCACGTGCTCGATAAAGTAATATACTTCCTTGTTATATTTTAAACAATACATCTTTAAAAATCATAAAATAATGAGTCAACATTTGAATTTGAACCCAGGCCGAGGGCCTACAGACAATTGAAAGGCACTGAGCAACCGTAGCTCAGTGCCTTTCAATTGTGCGGAAAAATAAGCCTTGCGATACGTTCATGATTTTAAAGTATAAGTGAGGGTATAACGACAACAGAACAACAATTTGTATATTGAGTATTGCTAAAAACAAATATTTTAATCTTAATAAGCATATTGTGTTGATATTGCTCGAATGTATTGTTATACATTCTGTTGTCGTTATAAAAAACATTTTATACTATCTTTTTAAGCAAAATTAGTTTACAAAATACCCACATTTTGTTTTTTTTTTTTTTTGCTTTCATTTTTACACATATAAACCTAAAGCTAACAGTTTGGAACTCAATTACCGAAAATATTTAAAAAAACAATCACCACATTTACTGCGGCTATAGCTGATCCTCATATACCCTATTTATCTCGGAATATTAATTAGGACAAAAAACATCTCAACATTAATCATAAAATGTTATGTAAGTTAAAATGTCAATATTTCATCTTTAACCCGTCGGCATTAAATAAATGTTACCAAAGGAGAAGCGTCAAACACTTCATAGATTATTTAAATTGTAAACGACTTACGTCTTTTCCTACTCGAAACGGGAGGCCGCAGAACGGAGCCTCTATCCTACACTAGACCAACAGTCGAACAACTGTCAGGGCTGATTCCATCCCGATTGACACTAATACACTTTACGTACACCAAAGTTCGGCACTTACATGGAAACATAGGCACTGCGTGTTGGCACAAACACTACGCGGCAGGTGATATTAAACGACGTCTATCGCCCGCGGAGGTTGGGCGCGTACTGCCGGAGAGGGCGCCCTGGACGCGGCGCCGCCCCACCCCTCCCGGCTCCGTGCGGTCAAATTTACAGGACGCCGGATAGTTCCCGAGTTTCGACGGCCGCCGTCGGCTCAACCCTGCTGGCGGCTTTTGACGTGTTAGGGCGGCGTTTGCTAAGGTGTCCGGGATTCGGGCTTTTCGGCGGCTATTTCCTGGCCCCGATCGAATTAGTCCGCTATTTAAGGCCGGAGTTTAGAAGAAATTCCGCCCTGAAGGCTTTCGTAGAAGCAATTCGAGTTCCAAGATCACTAGCTTCATGAAGTAACTTTGAGTACAAACGGGGGACTACTCCGCTGTAATTTTCGCCGTTGTGTAGATGCCAAATGTATAATTTTAAAATTAGAACGTACACACCTCTACCATAAAAAAAGTCATCAGGGACGTCAATGACGGCCCGGACGATTTTTTTCTTATGTTAGAAGACCGGTGTGGAGTGTAACTTCCAGTTTTATACTTTTGCGTTTCGACTGGTGAGCCGGGGTCCACTTACTTTATTGGCAAAGGTGGCAAAACATCTGCAACTCCACGGGTGTTATAAATGTCTATGGGCGGCGGTTGTCACTTAACATTAGAACCACCAGCTCGCTTGCCACCATCTCACATAAAAAAACATGTGCAAACATACATAAAAACGACCACCAAATCACGCAATGAGTTACGGATATCCGCTTTCCTTCCCCACTTTGAAAACTCTTCTGTGTTCCTGGATGCAGAAGCACCAGTAAAAAAATAAAATTTATTTTCTTATAAATTGATCTCTTCAAGTATCCATTACATTCATTAAATTTACATTAATGATTGTTTAGAAGGTTTTTCTAAGCACTGTTCTCGTAGCTTTCAATTTCCATTTTGTCTCTAGCTATAGAAACGGGGAGCAAAAAGCAAACGACCTTAAAAACATAGAAAAGAAAATAATCTATGCTTCGTTAGAGCGAGCAGCGTGGAAGAGATCCTTTTAGGACCCGAATTTATTAACCGTAAATTAGTGAAGTAAAATGAAAAGAGAGTCCTTTTACCGTAACCCAATTCCGCCCTGCTCGGCTTACCCACCCGTCAAGTTTGACTCCTATCGAGTTCATTTAAGGCAATCTTAAAAAAAACTTTGACTAAATTATTATGTTAAAGATATTAATCCTCTTAGCACGAAGTAGAATTGCAGTGATAAATAGGTAAATAAAAAAAAACCTGTCAAGTGCGAGTCGGACTCGCGCACGAGGGGTTCCGTAACTATTATCTATAAAAACAGCAAAAAAAAATCATGTGTGTTGTATGGGACCCGCACTTAAATATGTTTTCTCCTGTTATCTCCAATCAGTACAACCCATCCAAAGGGTAAAACGGAACCCTATTACTAAGACTTAGCTGTCTGTCTGTCCGTCTGTCCGTCTGTCCGTCTGTCCGTCTGTCCGTCTGTCCGTCTGTCCGTCTGTCCGTCTGTCCGTCTGTCCGTCTGTCCCTCCGTCCGTCTGTCCATCTGTCACCAGGCTGTATCTCATGAACCTTGATAGACAGTTAAAATTTACACAGATGTATTTCTGTTGCCGCTATAATAAGATATACTAAAAAAACAGAATAAAAAAATGTTTAAGTATTTTAGAGTACAACAACTGAATTAAATTTAAACAAAATATATCGAGAACAAGTTAACTTTTACCGATAAATGTTCACCGAAACAACTTGTGTATTTTGCAGACAACATATGTCGGATCCGCTAGTTCATGTATCAAATTTTTCGTAAAATCTTTTAAAATAGCTCATTTACATTTTTGGTTAATTACGAGTTTGGTTAAAATTCTGTTACGAGTTTATTCCGTTCGTAAACACCACCAAAATTTTATATCTCATATTTCAAAACACATATAAAATTTATAGTTACACAATAATCTTCTTTACAAAGAGGGCAGGGAGAGCGCACAAATTATTGCGGAAGGAAGGAAGGAATGAAATGAAAGCAGAAAGAACAATTAACGGAAGACGCAACGATTAAATATGAAACGGCTAGTAGTTATGGTTTGTTACTGAATAAAAGATCAGGTAGAACTGCGGTTTACTGTGAAATTATCATAAAAACAAATTACTTGCATTCAAAAATAATATATTTAATTAATAATATATAAATATTTAATAAACTTCTTAGAATGTTTGACGACCTTCTTTTGGTCTTAAGACAAGGTTAACACAACATTCTTAACACATATCAAATAAAAATACTGGTAGCGATGTTTATTTATGTGAAAACTATTTGTCTCCCACCCTTTCACTACAAAAGAAAACAAGTTGGAACCTAGACTTGAAGTTTTCCAAAAACGTTTTTGACGTCGAAACTCTAAATTATTCCATGTACTTGGTGCCAGTTGCATTTACGACCGTGACAAAATAAAATTTTCAGAGCCTCTGCCCCGAGGCCATAGCGTCCTAGGCAACCTCTGCAATACGACGCGATGCTGCTTGTTATTTAATATTTTATTTATTTATTTAATATTTATTTATTTACTTAATTCTCATAACTCTATAACTCTATACTAATGAAATAAAGCTGAAGGGTTTGTTTGTTTGTACGTCTATGGGACTACTTGAGGGATTCGAAAGATCTTTTTGCATTTGATATACAATTCTTGATGAAGATTATTGGGTATTTAAAACTACGCTACGATCTACGGGGGTGAAGCAGAAACGTTTGTCGCGGATGAAATCGCACGGAACAGCTAGTATATTTGATACTAGCGACCTACCCCGGCTTCGCACGGGTGCAATGTATCACGTGCCGCTATCTGTCTGTCCCTCTGTATATTTAAATCTTTAAACTTCTTAACGGATCTTGATGCGGTTTGTTTTTTACTAGATAGAGTGATTCAAGATGAAGGTTGATATGTATTACAAGCGACCCGCCCCGGCTTCGCATAGGTGTAATGTGTTATATATATAAACCTTCATCCTTTTGGGACGACTTTGTTTTATACTATGTAGTGTTAATGCGTTGCTAAGAGGGACAGACAGAGATAAAGAATTGCTCACTACATTTCTTACCCCACATTCACTGGAGACCGTCCTATGGATACTTCAATCCTACCCTTCAATATAAACCATCTTCCCGATAATTGTACTACAGTGTACCGATACTCTCATTCGTCTTTCGTCGTTTATCGTTTGCCCCGTGTATAAACCATCGAAACATTCCTATTTCCATTTCCCTGACAATTTCAACGAGAAAATATTCTTTCAATTAATACTTCGCATTTTCAATCCTTGATAATCAGACTTTTAGAGCAACGGCTGAATTGACACACGGAGTAATTTCATATATATTCAATATTCATTTTGCTTTCATTCCTTTCATCTTACCCGAAATTCATGTCTTATAAAATTTGGTGTGGTTCGACTCAGTATTGCGGATTGACTGACGTGATTTTCCTAACACATTCCTACTTCCCAAAATAAACTGTTGTAAGAGTATTTTCCTCATTTCACGATTTCCCTCCACGTGAGAAAATTTGCAAAGGAATCACGTTGGCACATTGGCCTGAATGTTGGTTTCACAGGATCGAAGATTGTGGCTTCGAATACAACGGTACCAAATGAGATTAAATACGAAGTTTTTAAGTAAGACATTTTAGCTCTGTATCCAGAGACAAACACAGACACAGTCACGACTAGGACTTTAAAACATAAACGTTAAGCTTTAGTGGCTCTTTTCAGGGATATACGTCTTTATTCATCATAATTCTATTATATTGAGGACATCATTTCAATGAAACATCAAACATAATAATATAAAATGAATTTCATTTGAAAATTTAAGTGCATATATAACTTAAAAATTTATCTCATTACTGATGTATTATTAGATATAATTCTTGTGGATTCTGGACAAAAGTAAGTTTCAGTAATTCTCATATTTTAATGTTTACCGCATTAGCAAGCTATGCTTTTTGATGGTATTCTCTTATCGCTACATCCGCTATTGGCATTGCTGGTATTGACATATCCAGCGACGGTTAATTTCACGGTCACCCTGAAGGGGGAGCCAAATTGGCTTCAATTGGGAAATTGAGTAGCGATAAATATCATCGTCAAAACCATGACGATTGAGAGTCAAGTGTTGTGCGCTTCTTAAGACATTTTTTACCGATTTCCCTCAAATGACTACTTCGTGAGAGATATTTCTACACTGATATCACGGACAGGTGTGTCTCCAGTTCGCTTTCCTGCGATTCCGTTAATAAAATGAAGCGCATTCAGTGGCAAAGATCATGTCGCCGTACATAGTGCAAAGCATAATAAAGAACTTAAGTAAACCAAAATTCGGAAATAGCATTTATATGCTTCGCCATTATTCGAACCTGCAACGTTAGACGATGAATTCTAAGTGACAACCGACTTCGACGCCTCTAACCACCACCACTATTATAAAGTTATCGTTATAAAACGGAGTCCGGAAGTAATACGAGCTGTTCCCTAGTTTGACTACTTTGAACGGAAGTTGCGGAGTCACTCACAAGGGTGAAAGTTATTATAGTGCGGTCGGCGCGTAGGGAGCCGAGCCGCCACTAATTGGGGCACGCTCTATTTTTACACGGCTTATTTCAATGTTAAGACCGACGGGTTAAGGTGAGCCGGCCTTAACGTGTCAAATCAAAGCCTAATTTAGGATGTTTTCACCTCCGCCAGCTCGTAAACAGTTAAACAATTCTGCAGGTAAATTCAGAACTCCTTTCCCAGAAGAAATATGCCATAAGAATATCACAGATAAAGGACAGATTCAAATAACAGGTCTTTAATTTCCAATATTTTAAGCTATTGCATAGCTTTTATCGCGGGCTTTAAGCGCGGTGACCGAATCAAGAAATTCCGTAACGAAAATAAAACCTAACACCCCCCACTCCGCCAACCATGTAGCTCGGCCGAGCGTTCGCTTAATGTGTATGTATATGGTACGAATGTATGAAGCTCGCACGGATGGATATTATAATATTATATTATCATATGATGATATGGTATTTAGAGGATATCAAGTCTCAAACTTATGCTTCTTATTTCAGTTACCATAAACGAGTGTTGAATGATAAAAATTCCTGAATAACCTACATGTATTGTAAGATTATAAAAAAATTTAAACGATATTAACTTCTCATTTATTCAATAAAAGAAAAAAAATTGTTTTCTTATCGATCACCATGCTCAAAAAGTATAACTTGAATTAATATCAAAGAAAAAACAACTGCATAAATAAAAAATAAATAAGTAATTATAATTGCAT